TTGAGTCCCCATAGATCACAAACTCAGTATCTCCTCAGGTGTGCTCCTTCACACGGTTCCTGCATCCTGGAGGGCTGTCTTACTCCTCTCTCTCTCTGCCAGGCCTCCCTTTCCTTCAGCTGTCCCAATGCTCGGTGGAAACCCAGAACGTGGCGTCCAGCCTCTAAGAACCCATCTGTGTTTTCTTCCCAATTTAGGCCGTATGCACATTTACCTGTCCCAGATAACTGAAGTTGCAGTAGTTCAGTCTGTTTCTAATGGAATACTTTTCTTCTTGGAAAATGAAACTCTGACAAAGGTTAAATATGGCTCAGGATATTTGGTTCTGAAAAACACAGGCAGGTTTCAAAACTTGTCTATCATACAAAGTTGTCCTTGAAACCTACCTTGTTTCTGTCCAATCCCATGATGGCAGAATGCTTTGGATTTGCAGAATGCAAGCTGTGAGCTTGGAAGGTCCTAGGATGTGTTTTACAACCCTCAGAGCATCCAGGATTTGCTTCTAAATCCTGTAGCCTTATGAGACCTAGGAACTCCAGGTATTTTGACTTACTGATGTCTGTAAGCTCTTTGTTGTGGAACCAGAAGCATAGAAGTCCTGACAACCCCATGGTTTTGTCTCTCATGTGATCCTAATTTCAGTTCTATTTTTTTGACACTCTTTTCCCTTTAAACTTATTCCAAAATCAGTGTAGTTTTTTGTTTGTTTTGTTTTGTTTGTTTGTTTGGGGTTTTTATTTATTTCTTTTAATCTGAGGTTTCAGCTGTATACAACTGTATGCCATAACCACAAGCTGTTCTTTCCAACTCTTGTTCCACATCTTTCTCGTGGCCTTCCAGGATTTGTAGTAGTGACTGGAAAGCTGAAGTCACTGAGTTTATACTCAGCAATCTTGGTTCTTTGTCTACCTAGTGTACCCTGAGGAAGGTTTGTATAATTGAGTTCTTGGTCAATATAATTCAAAAGAAAAGAATGAATTTAAGAACCATATCCCTCTAACACTTGGTAGCATATGCATTTGTATGTCTCTCTGCAGGGCTCAGTATTGTTCTGAAGTCATGTGGCAGGGTTACTAAAACTCATGATTTCTAAAAATAATTAATTTGGGAATGGTGCAGTGGTTAGTGTACTAACTGAGAACATGTGAGGCAGAGATTCAGTTTGCTTCTCTTCCAGCAATTTCCTATTCATCCTCAGCAAGCGTCTTGTTCCTCGAGTTCCCCATAATTAAAACAGTGACAGTAGCATTATCCTACCTAATGGAAATTGCAAGGTAAAATATGTAATATGTTGCAAAATGGCTTGTGTATTGTGTTGACTGGAGTTTTTGGTTTTCCTTTTCAAAAACTCATGGAGTTTCATATTTCATATTCAGGAATCATGGGAGACATAACAAAAGCTTAAGGTATTTTTGCTCAGTCTTCAGTATTTGTTCCTTTTCTTGCCTTCTGTAGTTACTCTCCCTCTCACTGACTCAGCAAGATCATTTAAGGGGAATGTCTTGTAAGATGGATTAGAAACTTCCAAAAGGGGAAAATAAGTGTAATTTTTATGTATTGCTGACATACTTTTAATATCTGTATTATGTTGCTATAAATACATGGTTATAAATATGTGTACAAACTTGGTCAGCTTTTGCTCAATTTTCAGCATGTTTCCAGAAACCAGTTGTGCAAAAACAGCTGAAGAGGGCAGAACCAAACAGAGGGGTTCAGGAGCACTCTAACTGGGTGTAATTGGTACTCAGGTTCTGGTGAGATTAAACTAAGGGCTGAGAAAAAAGATTAAATATTTTGTGCCTTCCACTGAAAAGTGAAGTTGCTGGAATCTATACTTTGAAGACTGTGGTAGACTGTTCTCAGGAGGGAACCAAGTAAATCAGTTTCAGTAGGAGAACCAACCTATGCCTTTCTGTCTGTAGTACTAATACTCTTCCTTTCCATTTTTTGACTACACCCTCTGTGACATCCACTTTTATACCTGGTATCTGAAAACGACCTAAATTTTTACCCTTAATATTTGACAGAGCCATTTAGATGGCTGATGTTTATTGCCTTGTCCCAGGCATGTACGTGTGGGACTGAAATTATTTTCTTGATGTGGATTCATCACTCAGCAACAAAATTCTGTGATTCAGTAATCAAACATTAATGATGTACAAAGGGAGCTTCTGAATGTTTTTCATGCCCTGATTGCTAAACAGAGGTAAGATCTGTAGTGAAGCAAAACGTGTTTGTCCTTGTGCTGAGGTTACACTGTCAAGTGGGACCACTCTAAGGTGCTGTTGAGTGGCCTGCAGCAACACCTGCCGCTGAATTCTCAATCAGAGTTAGAGTTAAGTGCAGTGGCTGGTCAAAACACAGCTGGACAGACTGGTTGCGGCTTTTTCACCGTGTATTTTTTCAACAAATAAGCAGTTTTGTGTGATTTATTAGCTGAGCTACCTAAACACTGAGTTAGAGTTCCAGCAGGAGGAAGTGGTGTCTATCTGTAAAGCTGCTCCATGGCTGCAAATTCAAGTGGCGGAAAGTTACTGAAGCTTGTAAAGCGTCCCTTGTGGCAACAGCATAACCATAAGAGAGTCATATGTTTTCTTGCTACGCAGTGGGAGGGGAGGCTGAGCTGGAACTGTGTTTTCCCTGGTGCTTATTGCTCAGGCCTGCATTTTGAAGCTGGCTATTGACTTTACGTGTGTCTTTGGTTGTTCGTGCTGAAGTAGAAACTGTGCTGTAGACCAGTTGTGGAGATCTCCTAATGGTTAAGATACATTACAGGTATTTATAAAGTAAAGTAATATTTTGTAGTATTTGAAGGTAAAAATAGAAAACTGGAAAACTTTAGTAAGGTCTAATAATGAAAACTTGCAAAAAATAAGGTTCAAGATATGGTTGTTTTGCCTTTTTTTTTTTTTTTTTAAATACCAATAGAAAGTTTCCACTATTTATGAACTAGGACTGATTTTGTGGAGATTTTTTACATATTACAAAACATTCTTTAATTTTTTTAACCTGACAAGGGCAGATTAATTATTATTGTCATATAGCTTCAATGGGGAGGTAAATATTTAAATTGCGTTAGTTTTTACAAGTGCACAGCAAGTTTTTTTTCTATAGCTAATCTATGTCAGTATAAATTTTATGGCAAACTGAAGGGTGCAACAGGAAAAAATGCTTTAAAATACCTATGCACTCTCATAATTTTTTGGTTAAGAACTCAATTTTGTGTGAGAAGTGAAAACCACTCTAAGTGTGGTTTGCTGCAGCATAGGTTTGCAGTGGCACAACTTTACACTTTCAGTAAGTGAATTTCAAACAGAAGGGTTTTTTCAGACTTCTAAATCTGTACTCAGATGTTTGCCTTGTGTTTGAATGCGAGTTATGTGCCAGGCTCCCGTGTCTGAGGCAGGTAACTGACCATGACCTACAAATCACTTCCATGTTTTCTTTTCTGGGAAAGTTGATTCTTCTTCAACTGCTCACGTTGAAGTTTGCATGTGAACCATAGACATGGATAGAAATGCCCCATTCTGCTTTGGTTGCTGCTAATTTATTTTTTTTATCTTGATGTTTTATGTGTAACCATTTCAACTATCATAGACAGAGCTGAGCAGTCATCTTGCAGTCGTCTTTCTGACGGACACATTTGATGCAGGCACTTCTGAAATTACTTTTGAAAAGCAAAGTAGTAAACACTGTTGATACAGGCTGGGACCTGCCTGTTGTTAAAATGTTATTCTGTAGCAGAAGAGGTGAGAGAACAATATTACACATACAAATGCTGGGTATTTTGTGGCATGAAGTACTTTACTTTATGGTGGAGGGATCTTTTCACAGAAAAAGCCTATCAAGAAGGGTGTAGCAATGCTATAGGGTGTTGATTCTGATGTTGGTACATAAAAAGTACAGAATTTTAAGAGGCTTTTAGGTATAGATGTCTAAGAATGCATAAATTTTATGTTATCTTTTCTCAAAGATACCTGCTGCAATAATTAACAGTGCATTTTAATGTGCACGTGAAAGGGACATTTGAAAATTGTGCAGAATTTTACTTTTCCAGGTGGCTGTATTTCTTTCATGGTGGCCTCCTAATGCAGTTTCTTTAGATACAAAAAGAGAAGAACAACCTGCATTTTAAATCAGCTATAGCACTTTGCACCATCGGTGCACTGCTTTTACGCTTATGACAAAATGACAAATTTGGAAGCACCAGGCGTGACCTGAAGTATTTCTCTTCCTCCCCTCCAGGCGCTTACACACATATGCACGGACACACATGTCCTCTGTGTTTCAGAGTCCTAGCAGGCATGTTGTTCTACTATGTGGAAAAGAAATGTGGCATTTGGGTCAGTGTTTCTAGTTCACAGACTACTTGTGATGTAAGATGGCTTATTGCCGTGCATAAGAATAATCTCTGATATACTAGTTAAATAGAGTGTAAATAGCTGCGGGTTCAGACACCTTTGCATTTCAGGAGTTTTAAGAATTGATCGATGACCCTGTAAGAGGCAGCAGCTCTGCTTTTCTGGTTATGGTTAATTATATCGCAGGTGAAGGTGTGATTATGTGCATGCATAACTGAGACACGTGTATGCTGAGTGCTAGCCTATTCCAGTTCCTTGTCCCATGACAGTTGTTTAAACCAGAAAAAAAATTGCACGTTACTGTTAATTTAATGAGCAGGGAGAGGTTAGCACCTGTCTATCTAATCCATACATTTTCTGTATTATATTGTATTGAAGGAATATCACTGCCTGACAGTTCTAGCGCGTAAACAGCTAAACAGTACTTGACATTTAAAGAGATTTTCTGTTGTGCACTTGTATAGTCAAGAGTAATTCTAATCCTATTAAAGATATTATGTCATGGAGGCGTGCCCTGCAGGAGAAGGCTTCTGCTGACTGGCCCGATGGAAAGCAGAGGGGAGGGGCGAGCGGGAGGGCGGATTTATTACTCGATAGTTAGGTCAGGGATTTCTGTGGGAAATGCCCAGTGGTTGCAGTTGCCGATGATTTCACGGCAACAGCAGTGAAACACAGAGCGCGCTCTGGTAGCTAGTTACTGAATGAGACACTGCAAATGGGTGGAAAGAAAAAAGACAGCGTGTGAGAGGGAGTCAGAGAGACACAGAGAGGGAAGCTGAGAGCAAGGAAAGTGCTCCGGCTCGAGGAGAGTCTCCCAGGTGTACTGCAGAAGCTTTTTGGAAATGGATGCAAGGACCATCTGCTGCCTATAGATTAGAGGGCTGTAGACTAGGAGTGCAGAGAAAGAGCTTATGGCTCTTTTGAATAAAAATCAAAGTTCTGCATAACTGATTCATCAAGATAAATCATGAGCCTTCTCTTGCATGGGATATTAACGTATAAATCCGTGCTTCAGATAGACAGAGCACAACCTACATTGCTATAAAAAATAAAACCAGCAAGAATGCAGTGAATAAATTCTGCAGTGATTATCTGATTTATGTACGAAGAAAAAGAGAAGCAAAACACAGACAGCTCTTATCGCACTGTGGCATTTGCAAGGCACTGCATTTAATGCTGAGAGATGCTATACATTAAATCTGACAACTGTGAAAAGAGAGATCATGGAGAAGTCAAGTAGTGAGGATTCTTCAATTCACCGGAGTCCATCTTTGGATAGCAAAGACTCAGATTTTGCTAAACCTTCTACCTCAGGGAGGCAATTTGGTCGAGGTTTTACTGCAGGAGCTTTCTATGGTACAACTGGATCACGCACACAGAGCCACACTGGGGTCGGAACCGGGACCGGCGTTGGGACTGGAACTGGCGTAAAAAGTGACAAATACAGTGCACCCAAAGGCAGCAAATACGTGGTCTTTTACCTGGATCTATCCTTTGTTTTCCTTTTAGAATTTAAGAAGTGCAACATGGCAAGAGGCTGCCTGTGTTGTTTGAAATACATGATGTTCCTTTTCAATTTAATATTTTGGGTGAGTACTGCCTTTTCGGTTGCCTTCATCTCCTAGCGTATCCTGTACTGCTGCATTCTGTGTATGGTGCATCTTTGAAGCAGTACAGTAAGTTCCCTCCTCCCCTCCCTCCCTCTCATACCTGCTTGGAATATTTTCAGCGTTAAACTTGTGTCTATTGGGAAAATGCACATGCTTTCTATATCTTTACTGCTACCTGCTTACTGTAGTTTGACTTCTAATCACTCAGACTTGCTGTTCTAATGTGTTTTCAACTGGGTTATCTAAGAAAGGGCAAAATTGTTGCCCTTTAAGGAAGAGCAGAATTATCGTAGCATTAAAATCCTGCAGTGGCTGGATTTTTGCATTCTGTTGTAATACCTTGTGTTGCAAAAAGCTGCAGGTTTATTTTTGAAGTACATTTTCATTGTCACCGTAAATCTTATTTGCTTTTTGTAAACTTCATTTGACAAACTTCTTTTTCATTTGAAGCAAGTTTTGTTCCATTTCTCCAATTAAAAACAGTAAATTGTGTATTCTAACCTCTGAAGGTCTCAGCATAAACGTGAAATGCCTTGAATGGGGAAATAATCTCGATTCAGTTTCAGCTGCAGTTGTACACATTGGTGTGTGAAGTTGGATACTTGCACTTGCTTCTCAGGGATCAAAATTGATTTTCCTCCATCAGCCAAGAGGCATGAGGAGTTGCAACAATGAATGCCTCAGCAAGCAAGTTAAAAGCTTAATGGCTACTTTGAGCAAAGTATTGTCATGTGTACAAGAGAGGGAGGAAAAGTTAAATCATCTAGCTAGGCATCCTTCAGTACAGTATTTTTAAGGAAATCACAGGCTAATTGAAATACTGAGTATGCATGAATATAGCCCAGTATGAAACAGTCTGCTTAGTTTGAAAGCAAAGGTCACTGCTTTCCTGATGGTTACAAAGCTTGGGCATGTGAACAAAATCGTTCATGGTTGTGATCCAGAAGTATACAGTAAGCTTCACAAATACGTAAAAACACTGTTCCTGGATTTATTTTGAAAAAAAGGGGCATTAGCAATCTGATTCAGATAACTACCTCTGTTGTATAGATATCATTGTTCAAATTAGGAATCATACTAGCAGGTCCTCTGTTTATCTTGACCCACTTACCGAAATAACCTTTAAGAGCAAGAGTTAATGGGAGATTTGGTACAGTGTTGAACCGCTCACGCAACAGTGAGCCTTTATCAGTAATAGACTGGAAAGCTACAATTACTGAACTTGTGGGCATCTTACTGAAATGGAAAGATAGAACTGATCACTGCAGAACATTGTATCAAAGTTCACTTAAGATTTTTAATTTTTTTTTTCCTTTTTCTGTACATAAACCCTACTAACTATTTTTGGAATAAATAATTTTAAACATACCAGATTTATATCAAACTGGCTATTTGATCCAATGCTGCATTATTGACACCTTGGAAGTATTTTTTTTTCATATCTGTATGTGGTGACTAGTTTTGGAAAAGCTTTTTTCTTATCATTACTCATGTCCGCTGTGATCTGTCATTTAGGTGTCTCTTACCCCTTACCTCCTTAGATGCAACATCTTTCTTTGATTTTACCTTCTTCCCAAGCAGCAATTTTCTTGACTCTGCATCAGACCTTTAGAGTCCATTTTTTCCATTCCTTGAACTCGTAAAAATATTTCAGACTTCAACTGTGTGCTCATCTCTGTCTGTTCAGCTCCCACTGGACTTTTATACAAACACATTGCTTTGTAGGTTAAGACTAGCCTACCATCTGGACCAGTTCTCTAGTGTCCTGTGCTTCTTCAGTTCTTACTCTTACCCGCTTAATCCCCCTCACACTCTCATCACCACGCATTTTGTTGTGAGGCTTATATCACTTTTCTTTCTGTTATTGAACTTTGTCACCACATCGCTAGCCAATATTCTAAAAATGCCTTTTTGTATGAGCCATGCTATACAGAATGAAAATGATACTCTGGCGTGGTAAATCTGAGAGATTATAAAAAAATGCTAAATGCAAGATGTCAGGTACTTTTCAAAGTAGTTTACAACAGAAATTTGATCCTCTGTCCTGGTTTAAATTGTTCAAAAGTCCCCCTTTCTTCAGTGTAACTGGCTTATACTCAATTTTGCAAGCTAGAATGATGTTACCATGCATCCTTCCAGTCTTGCTGTATTCTGACTTCTTTTTAACTGGGCTGTTGTATTTTGAGAAATTCAAATAAATAATATTATCATCTACTTTTATTCATGGAAACACAAGCTAGAATGAAGCATACTACAGGCAGGTGTTCTGTAGTTTGCCACATCTGGCTTCATACCTGGAATCTACATTAATTCTGCTATGCCTATCTGACAAGTTTTGAATGTTTGGCTCTGCACATACTCCTTGCTGATGCTGTGCACCTACAGTATCTCTCACTCCTGCCCTGAACTCTCCTGCTGGCCCAGCTCTGGGCTCCTCACACACCTGTGCCAGTGCCCTTTGCTCCTTCTCTGCCCTGAAGCACTCCCTGCTATTTCAGTCCTACCTTAAACTGTGTTTTCCATTCCCAGGTTTGCCCATTGTTTTTACTTCCTTCTGAATTTCTGTTAAGAAACCCAAGTCCAAAAACATGAAGTTGTGGCCTGCTCTTGGGCAGTGACTATCTTTTGTACTGCAAGGTGATTTCTTTTTAAAAAGACTAATTTTTAAACATGAAATTTTCTGAACTGTAACTTAAAGCAGAATGAGACTCCTGGTCTTCAGAGGTGAGGAGACCACTTCCTCTGGTAAACGTGAGAAGCATTTTGTTTTGGGCTTTTTTAAATACAGGAACTGGTTTAGGCAACTGGAAACAGAGGTGGGAAAACTGTGTTTCAGGGAGTCTTTAAACAGGTGCCAGTCTAACAGCTGTACAGCTGCAATAGGCAATCCAGCAGAGCAGTTTGATTACCACAAAGCTGCATTGTTCTGAGCCTGCAGAAGCTGAAAGCCTGTCTCATAGGAATCGTTCTGCCATAGTAAAATGGTTGTGAGATGCTTCCTCTGAAAATGAAATCAGGAGGTATCCTTTGGCATCCCAGAATGCTGGGCACTTTTGTCTTGAATGATTCTTAGTGTTGGCTCAGAGGAGTATATTCTTCTATAGGAAAAGAGGAACCTTTTTCCATTATTTGCTTCTTGACACAGAGAAAGAGACTGGGACCTGATCTGTCCCTTATGGACCAATGAGCTGTACTACTCTTTCAACCTTGCAGCTAACTCATATGTATCTGAAGACATGTGAGTTAAATATTAATATTATATATTACACACAGTATTTTATGTAGAATATGTTTTACATATATTAATATATCTTAATAGATATGTATACACATCTATAGGTTTTAAGGTGATAGAGAAGTGCAGTGGTTAGTGGATTCTCTCAGCATTTTGAAGCCAACGTACTGTCGCTGTGATAACTACAGTCGAGGGTTGCCTTGTTTTGCTTCTGCCCAGCAAAAACTCAGTGTTTGTAAATTAGACTACAAAATATAGCTTTTGAAAATTAGTAACCTGTGTATTATTTAACCTGGAAGGATCACATGTGATTTGTGCAAACCAAATTTGTCTAAATGGGGCCTAGCAGTAAATAGGAACAGAAGGTGTTTCTCCACCATATTACCAAGAGCTTCAGGTATTTCTCTGTGTCCCTCTGATTCTTAGCAGTTGTTCATGGCCATCTGGCATTGCTTTCTTTTAGAGATTAGGAGAGTCTGAGCTGAGGGTTAAGGAAGCTTATAGTATTTAATTGTGTGGCTGGGATGATGATTTATACTGAATTCATCCTAAGTGCATAATATGTCTTGCAAAGAGACCAGACAACTACAAATTTTAAATGATTCAGTTTGCCTTCAAGAATATTTATGTGCAAACACATACAGAGATTGCAAAGTAGCCAGTATCACTCTGCAGAAGAAATAAAGTATTGATTTTTGCTTCTACAGATAGCAGCTAAATTGTCAAGAAAGGTTATTGCCAAATATAAACATTAGGGTATATGTCTCTCTATGGTAGATTTCACTCCTCTGTTATTAGAGAGAAGGATTACAATACTTCATTTCACCAAATGTATTAGAAAATCTTACTGGTTATAAAATGAAAATTCCATTAAACATGACTTTTTAAAAGAAATTTTGCTCAGGAAATGAGGATTTTACAGACTCTTAAAAGGGAAATTTTGAAGTGACTGCAATAAGATAAAAAATTCATTAGAGAACTTTGCAAGTAGTCAATGGTCATGATTACATTTTGGGTGTTCTATTAATTTAACTAAGGTTAATGAGTCCACATACAGTAAAACATTAATAATATACATCTTGTTAGTTTTTACCATTGCTTAATTTTAATATAAAATGGATTTTATTAGGGGGAATATAAGGCAAGATTATTAAATCTCTGATGTTCTGTGTTTCAAGAAGAGCTAAGGAAAAGCTAACCATAGTCAAGAAAATCCTTAATGGGGTTTATCTGTCAAAGCATTTACTTTTAAACTACTAAAAAAAATTCTGATAGGAACAATATCTGTGTATTAATATTATAATTATAAACAGAAGTTATAATTTATCTAAGATAAATGGAGTCAAATTTACAAATTCATTACTTTAATACTTAGTTTCAAAGTAAATTTTGTTATAGGTGTGGAGTGGTTTCCTTTCACTGAAACATAAGTCTAGAAGAGTGATTCAAGTCTTCCAGAGAAAAAGTTGCACTGGAAACTTGATGGTCCAGCAGTAGCAGCAAAAAGTCAAACACAGCAAATTTTTCGCTGATACTCTGTTATTACAATAAGGGATATTATTGCTCCTGAAGAATATTTTGCTGCATTAATTGTTTGTCTAATTTAATCTTATGGTAGGAGTAATTAATATTTTTTTCCTGTAGAGTAAAAACAATTTTTTGTTTATCAGTGAGAATAAGGACAGTCTATTAAAGTCTCAGATCAGACTAAAAGAGAGGAGCATGTCCATTCTCTGGGTCTGGC